TTACTGTTGTTAATGTTAAGCTGGCTTAATATTATAGAAAACACAATTTTTTTACATTTTAGAAAATTAAAACAAAACAATTAAATGCGTATAAATCATTTACAACTGTTTTCTACTATTTAACTTGATAGTTTATATTTATAAATATGAAAATACAAAAAAAAACAACGTGAAAACTAATATTTATTAGCAAATTTAAGATTTTATTGCGGTGAAACATTTCTCAAAAAATACAACTTTTTGAACAATTCCCAAGCTTCTTTCTACTCGTACTCTTAGTCAAGTTTTTTCTAGACTTCTTAACTACAAAAAGTACATTTTGAAGGTGATCTTCATCTCTAGTAAATGAAATAAAATCTTTAATGAACTTAGTTTTTCTTTCTGGACCATCATTTACAACAGATATGTTTTTAATCAATGCAATAAAATCTAGCAACTAAGGATGGTTAAAAACATCTATAGTATTAAGACTATTGTTGAGCCATTCTTTTATACTTAAGTATAAAAGAATGTCAAGAGTTTACTTAAGTATGTCAAGAGTATACTTAAGTATAAAAAAATATCAAGAGCAAGTACTTGCTCTTGATATTTTAAAATGTATTTTAAAGAGAAGGTAGCTTTGCACGGAAATCAACTCAGGTAGCTCTGTGGTCTCTCCAATTTGTACATTTGATGGTTTACAACGCTGAAATTTATTTGGCTCTTCAAACTCAATCAGAGCTAACAGCATTCTTAGCTTTGTTTCAGAAGGAACTTCTTTATCCCCAAAGGAAAAAATACAGAGTTGCGGACTTAAGTACCGCGTATGGCGTCTCATGCTGAGAAGCAAAGCATTTCCAATATTCTTATTGACTTTTCTCAATGCATAGACTGTCTGGATAGCTTTCGAATTATTGTAGGGAGCCAGAAATCCTAAAAAACTTTTCAAAAACCATGGAACATAGCAAATTGCAATGAACAAACTTGCATCCTTCAACTGCAGCACTTCTTTTTCTGTCAAGATATTACTGATATCTTTGGTCATATAAAGAGTCAGGATGTAGATCGCATCTGCTAAAAACCTTGCCTCATGGCAGGCGCCAGGTTGTTGGAACTTAAAATCTTGTGCTTTCGCTCCAAGGAAGAAGGAGACAAGCTTACAAACTAAACCATAATCATTCCTTGAAAACACCATATCAGTAGTTGTATTAGTCAAAAATTTCTTAGCTTCCCCTGCAACAGTGCGAAGAACATAGCCAATCAGCCATTTGGTGAGATACATGTACTTTATATATGTGTCTTCTACACATTATCCACAAAATTGGTATTTTCAAAATATCTGTAAGAATTTGGACTGCTCCATTGACTCCGCCTGTATTGCTTGCCGTTGTATCACAGCATATACCAATGATCTGCTCTTTACATTCGTAATATTCTAAAAGATTGTGCACTTAATCTGCTTGGTCAACTCCCTTTGAAGAGGGACATTGAACAACACCTAAAAGATGTCTTCCAAGGTATCGTCATCCGGAGAACTCACTGAGACTGCAAGTTGCTCGATTTTTTGAATAATGTTAAGCCCAGTGGTAATTTGTTCCAACAGTTTGGTATCTAAATGAAGAATGAGCCGTCGGCCTTTTAACTTATTAGTTATTGAAATCCACTCCAAGTCTCCTTTAAGTTCTACATATTTGAACTTTTTTCTATGAAGTGTGCTTCGTGAAAGTGGTATATCATTAATTTCTATACCTCCAGCTTTAAATACTTCACTTAAAATTGCCAGATGAGGTCGTACACCAACATTAAACCTTGTTGCTTGAATAGCAGTACATTCAATGAGCTTTTTAACATTCACTGCTAGATTTATCCTCTCTCCAGAATTGTACCTAGATATTATTTTATAATACTTTTCTACCTATTTATAATTATATACTTTTCAATAAAACAGTTTTAGCTTGTGAAAATTACAACTATGTTATTAAAATAAGAGAAACGAGTCCTCGTTTGGATTTTCTTCTTCACTGCTGAATTGAATCTCTTCTGTCATGGAGTCATGTGACAAAAAAACATCATTGATATCTTTTACGTTTTTCTGTCTCTCTAATTCATTTTCTCTCAACTTATCTAGCTTGTTCTTTCTCCTGTTTGCATCCAGTACTCTCCTACTAAGGTCTTCGTCAACGTTTGTTTCCATATATCCTTTCCTATCCAACTTTTGGTCTTCATAAAAATAAGAAATAGTTAATTCTATTAAGACATTTATAAATAAATTAATAAATGTTCTAGTTTTTTCTGGAAGATGGCCAAACCATGGAAGCAGTGAAACGTAAATATTTTTAAGGAAATAATATAGTATTGCTTAAGTTACTTTAAATCGGAAAAAAAACCTCACGACTAAAAAAGTGTTATTTAATAAACTTACTTTATATCTTCCAGCTTGGCATCATCTGTTCTCAATCTATCAGCAAGAATATTTAATTAAAATTCTAGTAATTCGAGATGTCAAAAAGCTGATAGGATTCTGTCAGAAAATTTTTCTCTAACTTTGATTGCTTATCAAGGCTGCTGTTCCAGTTTAGAGAAGACAATTTAATCAACTTCTTGTATTTTAGATTAAGTTTAATGATTTTGGTTTTTATATTGTACCCAGAAATCACAAACTTCTTGCCAAACCCAGCATTATCCCAAATTTTTTTAATCCTATTTACCAAGCAAGAGTTATCAGAATCTGTACAAACACCATTTTCACAAACAAGATCCTTGAATTTCAATTTCAATTTGCAACCAAAAGTGGGTTTGTATTTTACTTGTGACTTGCGATGGATAAATTGATAGTATCTTAGAATATCACCATTAGATGGAAGCTGTCTCTGAGGTAAATCCCTCAGTGGTTACTTCAATAGGTAAATATACCTCAACCTTTCTGTATTTTTCCGTTTTTTCTTATTCTGTCCTATTGTATTTTTTTTTTTAGCTGTTCTTCCCATTTTTATATGAATTTCGAAATAATCAGTTTTTTAACTAAGTTTATACTAAATTTTACACTTGCATTAAAAATCTATGAAGTCGTTATTTGCTCTCGTATTATATTTTATCTAAATTTACCGTTAAGGCATTTATAACCGTTTACACAAGATTTTCTTCGTGTACAAATTAGAATTCATTCGTGCACAAATAATTCCATTTAGAAATTTTTTCCTTTAAAAAAAATTTCTAAATGGAGTTATTTGTGAACCAATCCATGAGGAATTATACCAACTAATAATATTGTCCAGAGGGAATTATATCAATCGCTAACAATGATCATAGGGAATGATCCTATTCTTTAATAATGTCCTATGGGAATTATTTGTGTACCAATTATTGCATCATATTAAATCATATTGAAATACTAAATAGCGCTGTGTTTATGTAAATACACAAGTGTAAAATACCGTAAAACTCAGAATTTACATCTATCACTTCTAGCCATTAAAAAATAAAAAAAAAGTTTTTGAGTAACTATTTAGGACCTATAGAATGGGGATTAGTGAAGAGCACATTGAAATTTTAAAAAAAGTATGTTTTTGGGACACCCTAGTATATAAACTTATTGTTCAAAAATTTGATTTACTTAAAATGCTAAGAAGCTATATGAATCATTATTTTTTATAAAGACCGATTTATTCAAAACGTTTTATTCAAATTATTTTTTTCAAAAACACTGATTTATACATAAACTCTACAAGAAGAACATTGTTAGAAATCCATCAAAAGCTTCACAGTAAACACAAGATACAATTAACACGTCTTAAAAACGTATTAATATGTAATTAATGCGTTTTTTAATTAGTTAAGGGGTCATCCATAAAGTACGTACGGTCATAAGGGGATGGGGTCTTCAAATAGCGTGCGAAAGCGTATAGATAGGGGAGGGGAGGGGGTTCAATTTAAAAGTACGTACTTTGTTTTTCTAATTTATCTTAATTAACCAGCTAACCGATAGAAAAGTTAAAATTCTGACTTAAGATCCTAGTTTGCTAACATGAAAATATGTATGGTATAGGGGAGTCGAGGGTATAATTTCCCTCTATGCACACACATGCCACCCCTTATATAATGACCTTGAGTAAGGAGTGTATTTCTAGCAATCTCTTTTTGAGTCCGCAAAAAACAGGTTTTAGCAGTGCTGTGGCTAATGGGTCGGAGGCCCTCCAAAAAAAACGTGTCATTAGGGTCTCAAAATATTACCGCTAGGTATTGCTAAAATAAAAGTTCCTTAAATTTGCAAAAGGGCCCCTAAATTTTCTGGGTCCTACCCCACCCCTTATTAGGTGGTACGGGTAGCCTACCCCCGGCACTGGGTTTTAGGCTTTGTTTTCAATATCACTGATTTTGCGTAAAAATCGTTTTTTACGGACTTACTAAAGAGGGGTGCCTGAAAAAAACGTCCGCCCTAAGTATAGTTTATTTTTATTTGATTCGTCATTAAAAAAAAGTTAAAAAATCTGATACTGAATCTAAACAGATACTCAGAATTCTTCTAAGACTATAAATTAAAATACATATATATCAACTACAAAGTAAACTGACTCGTTTATGTGTATTATCTAAATGACTCTTACCTTTCTCAAACAATATATCAAAAATTGTTTATTACACACAAAAAAACACTTGATTTTTTCTTATCAAGTTTAGTTATTTTGCTGCTTGTTATATCTAATATTTTATACTGAGCTTATTTTGAGTTTATTTTTTATTATGAGCTTAATATAAAGAATATATAAATATATTTGTTCTTAATATATAATTATATTTAACATAATCATAATATATATCAAACACATTGTAAGGGCTTCGTGATAAGATCATTACAATCTTCTTGAAGTCCGGCCTGTACTGTTTAATTATAAATTTCACTATATATTTTGACTCACGAGACTTGTAAATATTACAACTTTTAACTTACAAAACTTGTAAATGTTATATGTACGGCAAATATATAAAATAAAAAATTAAAAAAAAAAAAAAAAAAAAAGTACGTTTAAACTTGACGTTAAGTCTTGACACACGATCACCGCCGCCGGAGTCCATAGCTTTAACCTCTCGGCCAAACGATCACATATATTTCGATTAATTTGACCTTATTAGAATAAATATTTGTATATATATTTAAAGACATATGTCTTTTAAATAGGGATCCTGTGCCAAAGCCAAGAGGTTTGGGGTCGTATAAAGTATCTATGGTACCCTCCCCACCTTTTTTTTTTTAATAAACTTTTTATTGAAAAAAATTTGGTGGGTGGGGCTGTTTTTTAAATGCGTACATACATTTGAAGGAGAGGGGGGGAAGGGACTTAAAAGTACGCACGACAACAGGGTGAAGGGGAGGGGGTTCAAACTTCAAAATTTTTGGCGTGCGTATTTTATAGACGACCCATAATTGGTACGTGTTTTTGGGGTAATATACACGTCTTGTGCTTTCTGGGTCTTTTTAACATCACAGTACATAATATTATTACTATTAAGATAAAAATGAAATAATATTAATGTATATATATATATATATATATATATATATATATATATATATATATATATATATATATATATATATATATATATATAATATATATATATATATATATATATATATATATATATATATATATATATATATATATATATATATATATATATATATATATATATATATATATGTATGTATATATATATAAATACATAATATTATTACTATTAAGATAATAATAAAATAATAAACAAAAAATATGTATACCGTTATTATCCGTTTCTCTTATTTTGATTGTTTTGTACATGTTTTGGCCTATAAAAAAACAATATTCGCATATTAGGGTGATGAAAATGTGAATATATAAAACACTTTTATCCGTTTTCTTTTAACTTAAGAAGCTTGCAGAAGGTTCATGCTCAAATCAATCAGAAGGTACATATCTCAAAATAAAACAAATAGATTGATCTGTAATTAAAAATATCGTTCTAACTTTTTTTGGCTACTGTTTTATTAGATAGATATCTTATTTGACGGTGTAAAATTATAGTTACCATGCCACTTCAGATTTAAGAAGCAATGTTTTAAGAATAGTTTTATTTCGCAGGAAAAAAAACAACGATAAAACCAAAAACTGTTCACCTTCCTTGAGCAACACAATCAAAATTTCAATAAAAAAATAAATGAATTATAAATAAAATTGATAAAATATAAGACATTGATACAACTAATACTACTTTTAATTCAACTGGATTTAATTTCACGAATATTTTAAATATTATATAAATATAAATAAATCAGTAAATATTGTAAAGAAATTTTCAAAAAACATAAAATGCTTCTTGATTTGTTTTTTAGAGTTTTCAAATGATTTTAATAGAATGACTTCAAAAAACTTAAAATAATCCCTGATAATTAATTTATACTTATTTATCCGTAGCATAAGTTTTATCGATAATCTTAAAACCTTTGATCTCATTAATGAAAACGAGGTTGTTTCTAAGATTTCTTTAATCTTTTAAAGATTAAAGCATGTGTTTATCAAGACAAAAAAGTGTAATTATGAAAGTGTAGTTATGAAAAGCAGTTTAGAAACACATTGTTTTTGTTTCTTAACTGCTTTACTTCGTTTATTTTAGTATATGTTAGAAAATAAGATAAATTGGAAAATTTAAGAATAAATGTTCAAATTTAATAACTTAATTGTAAGTTGAACTCGCCAAAAAATAATTTTTTGAGTTTTAGACGTTAAATTAAAAAAAAACACTATCCATTTATCTTTTTCACTAACGTTTGACGTTGTGAATATTTTTTTTTTCCTTCTTTGCTTCAGAGTTTTTTTTTGTTGGTTTATTTTGGTTTATTTAATGGATCTGGTTTGACGCAAACCAATTGGGTTTTTCCATTATAAATTCTTATCGTAATACCTCTTTAACTTAAAATATCTTTTTACATTAAGTTATTGTCTATGATACTTTCATGTCATGATACTTTAATGAAAAATTATTGGTTTTATGATGAACACCTATGTCAAATGTTTTAAGCTTGACATATGTCAAAGGTTTCTATTTCATGTTGTATAAATATTTCTTTAATTTGTGGAGTAGCATAATATAAAACTTATTGATGCGAAAAGTCTTCTTTATAATAATTAAACATAAATTACTTTATTACCAGTGACGTAGGAAGGTTTTTAAATGTTTGAAAGAAGGGGTTGTCCATAAATTACGTCACGCAGTTTTTATACATTTTTTTGACCCCTCCCCTCCTCCTCCGTAACTCTTTATTCACCCCTCCCCTCACCAATACACGCAACAATTTTGTACCCTACCCCCCCTTTAAAAAAAAATTTTTTTTTAGAGCGGGTGGGAGGAGGGAAAAATTTTTACAAAATTAAAAAACGATTTTAAATATAATAATGTCTATAATTCTCTGAGCTTCTTTGAGTTAATTAATTAGTACTTTTCAGTCTGTTTAATGTTTTTTTTCATCCCAATAGTTCCGTGTAAAGTTGTATAAATTAAAGTCGCTCTCCTAAGCATGATACCAATTTTAAAAATCTATTTTTCTGATATATAATACATGCAAAATGTGTATATATGTACAGGGCCATAAAGAGCCAAGCCGGGCCCCAGGGTAAACTTTTTGGCGAACCCCTTTTTTTTACATTTAAAATCATATCCATATTAAAAACATCAAACTTAAAGTCTATGACGTGTCTTTAGTCTAACTTAAATTAAAATCAATTATATAGCCTATGACTAGATGTATCTTTAATTAGTTAGGCTGGTCAACGAATCCTTCCATTTTTTTAACAAGTTGCATTTCACGGTCGTTTACAAGCGCTATGTTTAGGTACGCATGCGTGAGAAAATGCGAACTTTTAAAATGGCTACGGTTCTTAACTACAGAGTATATTTTATATGGCAACCGTGTTTATTTGTTATTTGATCTCTAAAGACTCAATGTTGTAGCCTTATTTTTATGTAGATCAGTATATTATTACAGAATTTTTACGAAAATATAAAAAAAAAAAAGAATAAAAATATCTTAAAGTATTTAAACTTTATTTTCAATTAACAACTTTTTAGTGTAACTCATAGATTTGTTTATTTATTTGAAATCAATTTTCTTAAAATCTGACTGTAGGATTTCAATAGTTTTTTTTTAAACTTCAGATAAATATGTTCTATATTTATGATATTTTTCTGGTGATTGCTTCAACTTTTTTTCAATATAAAAAATTGTTTTTACTATATATATATATATATATATATATATATATATATATATATATATATATATATATATATATATATATATATATATATATATATATATATATATATATATCTATATATATATATATATATATATATATATATATATATATATATATATATATATATATATATATATATATATATATATATATATATATATATATATATATATATATATATATATATATATATATATATATATATATATATATAATATATATATCTCTATATATCTCTCTATATATATATATATATATATATATATATATATATATATATATATATATATATTATATATATATATATATATATATATATATATATATATATATATATATATATATATATATATATATATATATGTATATATATATATATATATATATATATATATATATATATATATATATATATATATATATATATATATATATATGTATATATATATATATATATATATATATATATATATATATATATATATATATATATATATATATATATATATATATATATATATATATATATATATATATATATATATATATATATATATATATATATATATGTATATATATATATATATATATTCTTTTTTACTGCATTTTTTACTTTTTTGTTGCAATATTCAACAAACTTTAGTACAAAGTATAACAAAATATTTTCATCTAATTATAATCTCTAAGCAATTTTACTTGAATGATAATTTTTTATAATAATTTTAGTTTTTAGTTATGTTAATATTGATTTGATTTTTCTGACTGATTTACAGTTAAACAAAAACTGCAAAGGGCAAAATATAAATAACTTTTCGAAAGGAATGGCGTTAATTCTTGAACATCTTCAACACATAAACTAATGAAGGAAACAGTCCAAAAAGTAGTTCTATATTATATTTGCAGTTTGATCATTATTTGTATAATGCTTTTGTGACATAATTATTATAGATTTTTTACTAAAGTATACAGAGCAAAAGTTTCATCTGCAACTATTCTTTGCACAACTTATGTTAAAGAATTGTGCAGATCTTGTATTAAAACTATTGTAAAAATTACCAACTCTTGTTTGTGAACAACAATTGATGAAAATGATGCTTCTGGGAGATCACAAATGCTATGTTGGAATATAACATTAAGAGCCAGAAATAATACAAAACAATTTAGACATGAGCATGTGAAATTTTATGGAAAATATTTTGGAAATTATTGTTTTTTATTTCTGCAACACCATACATAGTGCAGAAGAAATAAAAAGCAAAACAAAGACATTTCGTTTTTTATTTTGTAATGTATATATATAAAATTTTTAAATATTTAATTTAACATATGATTGGAACTGTTATTGCACTGTATTACTATCAGCTTATTTATTATTAAGATATTTTTTTAAATTTATAAATTTTTGGTAGCTATATTTTAAAATATATATATAGCTTCCACCTCCTAATGTGTTTTATATGATAAAAAAACACTGGTTTTAAATTTTTTTTGAAGAAAAATCATTTTTGTAGTCCCTTAAACATATAAAGAGTTCCTATTATTATCAATTTAAAAAATCTTCCAAAGTGTATCTTGACATTTTGGCTCAAATTAAGCGAAATCATGAAAATTTCAAAAATGAATAAAATATTGCCAAAAATTGGTAAAAATTGATATTTTCTTTTAGTTAATAAAATTCATTTTTTATGGTGTTAAATCTAACATTGAAATTTTCATATGATTTTGCTTCATTTAAGACCCAACATGATACACTCAAATAAAACATAATAAGCTCCTAAATAAATAAATCATAACAAGTTCCTAAGGGTTATGAATCATCAAAATATTTTTTATTCAAAAATTTTTAAAAAACAGTTTTTTTTACCTGAAATGCAAATATTTTTTCGCAGTAAAATTCTTTGCAAGTAATATAAAAAAATAAGTGATTAAAGACCTGCTTGTTATGATACAAGTATTTTTTTTTAACTGTATTAGTGCATATATTTGCATATATAAACTGTTTAAATGCATATATTTGCATATTTATACTTAAAAAATAGGTTAAAAAATATGTTTGATTTTACACCATAAAAAATGAATTTTATTAAGTAAAGAAAAAAAATGTCCATTATTACCAATTTTTGGCAACATGTTTTTTGAAATTTTCATATAATTTTGCTTCACTTGAGACCCATTATGATATAATTTATATATAATACTTATGATATGTCCATTATGATATAATTTATACATAATACACTTATATATATATTTTTTTATAATTATTAGGAACTTGTTATGTTCCTAATAATTATAAAAAAAAATAAGGGTCTTGATGGAGTCATCAAAATATTTATATTTTTTTAATTTTTAAAAACCAGTTGTTTTTTATTATATAAAACACATTAAGCATATATTGTTCAAAAAAGTTTTTTTTGGGAAAATCCTATTAAATGATAATATTTTTTTTAACTTTAGATAAATATGTTTTATATTGATGATATTTCTCTTTCTATTGCTTTAACTTTATTTCAATATAAAAACTTACTTTTACTGTTATGGCTTTTTCCTAATATATTGAAGTATTTTTTACTTTATTTTTTTTGTTACTATATATATATATATATATATATATATATATATATATATATATATATATATATATATATATATATATATATATATATATATATATATATATATATATATATATATATATATATATATATATATATATATATATATATATAACAAAATAATTAATGAAATTGCACTTATATAAGGAAATAGTCATATACATAAGTTAGATATATAAGGAAATAGTCATAACAGTAAAAACAAATTTTTATATGGAAAAAAAGTTGAAGCAATGACCAGAAAAATAT